CATTATTATTACAATGTGTTTATTTTCTTTTTTATTTTTAGTTATATATATTTATAGCACAATTTTTTATTTTTCATTTTACTTACGAAATTTAGGTAAATCATTTATATAGTAAATTTTTAATTCCTCTATTTATTCATATTATATTTAATTTGTTAAAAGAAATATTAATGTAAAAATATATAATAAACCATTAAAGTGAAAAAAAGGTAAAATATGGTATATTCGTTTGCTTTAAATGTTTAATATTATTCACATTAATTTCATAATTTTTTTTTTATATTATAATCTATATTAAAAACCTTATTATTTTCATTAAATATTTTGAAATATTTTGTGTAAATAATTAGGCGTTTCTATGCATATTTTTTAAGAACTAAAAGTATTACCTAACAAAAAAACAAAAAATAAAGGGTAATTATGTAGTATAATTTATTTAAAAAAATAAATATTTAAAAAGAGAAAAATTATAACATAACATTAATAATAAAATTCTTTTTGCATTAATGTTAGAAATAAATCTTCATATGTTATAAAATATAAAAATACCTTAAATAATTATAATATATGAAGTTCCTTTATAAATTTAATTATCTTATTTTAAATATGCATTTTCATTTTATTCATCAAAAAATTGTATGTTTTTATAAAATAAGTTTTTCTATATATATGTATATAACAATTTTAATGAATTTATTTTATATTTCGTTTGATCATCATGCATTTTGTATAAAACAATAAAAGAAAAATATTTTATCTCAAAACAGCTTAGCTATTACAAAAACCTATATTAATTGAATTTTTATGAGGTAAACTTGTTAAATGAAAAATTATTATAATTTTTTCTATTTTTCTTTAACAATTGATCAAATTCATTGGAATATACATATTTTTATTAACTAAATAAATAACTACCTAATAACATTAAATTGTTTTAGTTTATTCCCTCATGTTTTTGTTTCTAGAAAGGAACATTATTACAAGTGCTTTGTTTAACTATTTTTCTTATAAACTTGGCATAATTTTTTTCATTAAATTAATATTTAATTCCCATTAAACTACTAAAAGTGTGATTTGGAATAACTATAATTTTCTAGAAATTTCTTCATTATCAATTTTTTTTTCAAAATTTTTGAATTTTCTGATTTATTTAATTTATATTCTTTAAATTTTCTCTTAATTGCGTTTATGAGGTTGATCATCGTTATAAATATTTATATCGTAATCAAAAATAAAAGAATTATTCTCATTTACAAATATAACATTAATTAAAATTATAAATCAACTAGGAGATAAAATTTTTCTTTAATATTACTAATAATAAATATAAATATGTAAATATATAAATAGGAAAAAAAAAGATTTTATGCTAAATGTATTAAGCATAAGATACTCATACTTTATTAAAAATAGTTAAAAAAATAAATATACAAATTTGCTACATTTTCGTGTAATATTCAGTGTTACTATTATTCTAATATTGGTTAATAAAAGGCTTCATTAACCTTTTTGGAAAATAAAAGGACTAGTTAAATAAAGTATACGAAGTTGGTCATGCATACACACACACAAAAAAAAAATTGATGATTTTTTTTTGTTTGTACTTTTTAAAAAAAAAGTACAAAGACTGTCAGGAAAAAAAATTTGATAAAAAAAAAATGTAAAAATAGTCAGAAAAAAAATTGATTAAAAAAATCAATTTTTTTAAAATATTTGTTACTAATAAATAAATAAAAAAAAAAAATTTTTATTTTTTGAAGGAAAGGAAATGAAATATTTTTTTATGATGAATTTTGTAAAAGAAAATTTTATACATATAACAATAAAATTTTCATGTAATTAATATTTATATAATTTTTTGTATTTGTCAATAATTGTTTATGTTTTGTTAATTCAACGGTAATATATATTAATTGCTGAACGAAGTAGAGCGCATAGTTAAGAGTTACTCGTTCAAAGAATATAAAAATATATATAAATATACAAAAAACGTAGAGGCACCTCTACATGCTCTTTATTAATTGGTTTGTTCAGTACTATAGTAAAGTCCTCGAACACTCAGTTAATAAATCAAATATATACCAACTTTCATAATGATTTGCCCATGAAAATATCTTTCACTACCATAATTCCACGAAATATAGAAATAATATTGATATAGAAATTTCCTTAATTTATTATTTATATATTTATATAAATTTTTTTTCTTTTTGTATAAAATATAAAATTAAGTATATGAAATGCTATAAAAAAATAATTGTGTATATATGTTAATATTAAACTACATATTTGTTCTTTTTATGCGCGTACTTCAATTTTTGCACTAACAAAATATTAAATATTTATGTAATTTTTATATATATTTATTAATATATATTATTTTATGTATTTGAAAAACATAATATACAATAATTTTATTAATCATATATATAAAATAAATAATATTTTATATATTATTTAAAATCTTTCTTTTCTTTTTTGCTAGATGAATGCACAAAAGTTTTACATTAACAAAAATAAACTGTTTTAAATTGAATATATTCTATAATTTTAGTAACATTACATTCTTTTTTTATACTTTTAAATTTATGTAAAAATGAAATATTTTATTTTTTATTATTTTAATATAAATACTGCACTGTTTTCTTTATTTTAATAACATCTACAATTTTAAGAGCATAATATATTTTTTATATATATTTTTATGTGTTGCAAAACTTATAATAGTTTCATTTTTTATTATTTTACTATAAATAATAAAAAATTTTCTCTATTTGAATAAAATTAAAAGAAAAATTATTAAGTTTATATCTTTGCAAGTATTATTGCAAATAATATTTGTTCGAAACATGCATGCATACATATAAAATGATTTAAAGTTATTACATTTTAAAAATTAATATATAAATAATACGTAACTCACCTAAAATATAAAAATTTTGATTTTTTTTTTTTTTGATGCATTATGTGGTTATTTTTACGCCTTCAAAATATTTAAATATTCTTTGTACTTCATTTTATATGATTTAGAAAACACGTTTTTATTATATTTTTGATTTATTAATATATTAAATTAAACTTCATTAGGTATATTAATAGCTATTAGAAAAAGAAAAAGGAAAAAATATTACATAAAATTATTATATTTACTGATNATACTTTTTATTATTGTACTTTTCAATTATTTTAAATGAACATTTTTATTTTTTCTCCTTTTTTTTAAATGTTAATTAATTTTTCCTTTTCTATATGTTTTTCATTTTTGCAATGATATAATACTATAATTTTCTATAATATAATTTAAAATAAAATTCTTTTAAAAGCAATGAAAAAGAACATAAAAATGTATAACCGAATGATTTAGCTATCTCTATGATCATATAAAACATTGAAATGTTGTTGAAAAGGTTATCTAAATGATACAACATAAGAAAGAAATTATTGAAGTATTTATTATGTAAAAGTAAATAAGAATTAGAAAGTAATGATTATATTAAAAAGAAAAAATCAGTTAAAAATTTTTTATTGAAATTTAATTTCTTTAGCATAAATTAGAAAGCATTAATTCATTATCTATATCAATAAAGGTTCTAAAAAAGAAAATTAATAAAGAATTCAACAATACACAAATGAAATAGTTTTTTATTTGCAATTCTAAATAGCTACATTTATTCTTAAGTTAATTTTTGATATATTAAAAAATTAGACATGATTATTTTTTATAGTAGTGTTTTTTATATTTACTTTTTTACATATAAATAAAAATTAAATTTTCTTTTTTCTATATATTTAAAAGTAAAAATGAAAAAAATGAAATGATAGAGAATATAAACAAGAAACACAAAAATAAAGTAAAATATTTTAATAATGTTGAATTTTTTATATATTTAAGTTATCCTTTTACACAACTTAGAACAAGTATCAAATAGAAAATACATTAAATACTAATAAGAAAGTGTTTTAAATATATTTATAAAAATATATTTATTTATTAAGATAAGTAACCAAAATATAAAAA